TGGTTGAAATTCCAAAGGAACATAGAACAGACCTATGATTATCCAGGATTTCCTCTTTGGTAAGTGTCGTGAGGGTATATGTTGAGTTTCCAAGTGAATTGTCAATACCTAATTCATTTATCAAGTTGTCTATGTAATGATATTTACACACAAAAACGATGTTGTTTGGGGCTTTATCTGCAGGGGCAACAACATATTTGTCATGGAGGTAGGACAAGTGTTTTGCAACATTTGGGTCTTTAAAAGTTGACGTAGCGTGGGTATTGATATGCCCATTTAGTTTCTTAATTCGGATTTGTATCAACGACCTCAAAGCCTTAATCCATTCGGAAAGAGTATCTACGTCTTCTTTCTCGCGTTTAGCCCATTGCCTGGCATAATCCTCGACTGAATCCATCAGTATTTTGAAGTTGTATTTCCAATTGATGGATTTAGGTTCACGATATTTCGGACCTTTGCATAACAAATTTCGCATGGAAGTGTTATTGACAATGTTGAGGTCTCCGGTAATAACGTGGCCGGCCGGATTATATGTGAATTGGGAACTAGCACAGGTGCAATCAGGAGGTTTAGACTTGAAGTCGTCAATGTTGAGATCCTGCAAAACGTGTTTGTAATTGAAAATTTTGGTTGCAATTGGTTTGGTATAGGTATAAGAAATTATTGGTACAGACTGATCTTTAAAATAAGGTGGTATTTTCGACTGAACTAATTTATGATGAAGGATATTGCCTAAGTTGACGCCATCGAGACCTTTGTTGGCAAAGGAAAGTTTAAGAAAAGATCTTTTCTCTTTTTCATCTTTTCCAATGCGAACTGGTTTGAAAAGTCTGAGACTTGCAATAACCGAAATGATAGCTGTAAGTTTGTATTGGTTTAAATGAGGGTTTATAACAGTGGTTTCCAAACATAAATTAAACAGAGAATGAAGTTTTGAAAGGGGTAATGAATACAGTTTCGTGCGAATGTGATGAATGCCTAACGGCTTTTGTATAAATGGCAGCAAGTCATTAATAGAGACATCATGCAAAGTAGGTGATGTATAATGACGACGACCATGACTGCGTCTACGTCGAGGAGTAGAGTTGAAAATATTCATTACATTCACCGAGCTACAGGAAGGACTAGATAGAATACCTATACCATCAATTTTGTCATTGCAACCATATGGTGTCGCAGTTCCCAATTGTCGAATCCAGTAGTCCTCTTTTTGTTTTCTTGAAATAATGCTAAATATTTCTTTCGTTTTTCTGCAATTAAATTTTCTTCTAATCATTGCACAAGATCTTTCTTTCTTTACTGTTATGACGTTGCTGTGTGAACTCTTCTATTAGATACAGCAACCGATTTGTTTAGTTATTTGTATCATTAAAAGTATATGTAACGTATACCAAGTATCTCTTTTTATTCAATTGCAATCAATGCTTACTTCAAGCCATATATTTTTTTCATTAAATGAGCAAACCCCAATTTAAAGGGGTCTGATATGACAAACTGAAAACAATTCAAACGAGAAATCTCACGATAAAACAATAAACGAATATGGCAGACAGCAACTAACGACAACCACTTAGTTACAGACTCCTAACTCAATTATCTATCATGGCGAGTTTGAACATGTTTGCAGCGCTTAACCCTTCTCCTAACCTTGTATAGTTGTGTAACAGCCAAACATATTAACAAACTGTAAAAATCAATTGAAAAGGGTTTGTTGACTCATCACGTCAGCACGAAGCACAAAAAAAAAACATCATTAGTGTGTGATAACATTTTGTGAGGGAATTCGATGTTTGCTATACCTCGGTTCATTTCAATGCACTTTATTGACAATACCACTATACCAATCAGAATGAATTATTTTGCAGTGTTTTAAGAAATGATTTTACTTTGCATCCATGTATTATTTGAGAAACATTAAATGTTTTAAAAGGGCGAATTCTGTATAAAGTCAATAATTATGTAGACTTTTGAAGCCCCAACTTTCTATAACCTTAAATACACAAATGAAAAATCCAAAAATTATACCAATACAAAACGAAATGTTTTTACAATTATAGCAAAAGTTTTGGTTGACAAATTTTTATTCGTTTTTGCAAAAAATGAACTTAAAATATCTGTCATTTTCTCCCTACCCAGTTTACCCCCATTACGATATTATGATGTGGACCGGTCATTGTTATTGAATCTGAATACGCAATTTGATTGGATTAAGTTATTATTAGTTTACCTGCAAACTGTTTATTCTTTTCATACACGTATTTTGCTTAAATAGGAACATGCATGAATGTGTACAGTAACTTAAATTACCATTTCATTCCATTAAACAAGTCATTTTTCGAAGGAAATGCCGAAATACATTTTACGCACAGCTACGCCAGGTAAAATTATTGTTTATCTTAACAAAAAAAAATATTTTTCAGTCTCATTATAATGTTTTATTAACCAACTTACTACAATATGTATAGAAATGCCCATGCTTTATAAAAGGAAAATTTCGACAACTGGTCATTATGAACGGAGAAATTGCTACAGCCATGCATAACGAAATCTCAGTCATGCATTACGAAATCACACCGATGCATTACGAAATCACAGCCATGCATTATGAACAAGATGAAACGGGACATCGATTAAATCAAAATGTCGTTTATTTCTTCAAATAAGTGACAATTTTTTTCAAATTTCTTTTAACTTAATATCATAAAAAAATAGTTTAAATGATGTTCAGTGTTTTGTAACGACTTGAAACGGAAATATTACACAGCCTTTTTCGAGTACGACTTTCGATTATTATCACTGTTTCATTTCCGTTGATCAATTATCAGAACGCAGACTACTCAGAGTAAGAATAGTTAAACTGTCTGATTTATTCTTCCCAGCTACTTTATATTTGCTAGATGAAATGAATTGTAATAGCATAAAATAAAGTACTTGGATGAGAAATCAGAAATTACATCTGACAATGTTGACCAAAAATCCATCGTGAATGCGAAAAGACAAGTTCAGCTATGAATTCCTGTATCTTCTTCACGGTAAGATTTTTACTCTTTGTTTAATCGAAGAATTAAACCCATTTACGGTAATAAAAGTGTTATGAACTGGCTTTTTTTTTTTGTATTGGTCCTGTTATAGATTCGTGGTTAGCTGTATTTGGATCCGAGACTCGAAGACTGTTTTTGAATGAAGTTGCCGTAGTTGGTTAATAAAAGTATCAATATATGGACTTTTTCATATTGGCCCTGTAACATGCCCTTGGTATTAATAATGGCCTCGGACAGTTGTAATGGCTCTCGGCGCTGCCTCGGGGCCATTACAACCATCCTTGGTCATTATTAATACCTCGGGCATGTTACAGGGCCAATATGAAAAGTCCATACATTAATACTATAATAATTATTATAATTACAATTAATCCCAAACAAAAATAGTCAGTAGATAAAGCCAAAATATGTCCGATCTTCTTATTTTCGGACATCAAAATTCAATACGATCGTTTTCAGGTCAATTTCGTCTACTTCACAAAATCTTGTAAGGAACTATAATAAAACGAAGAAAGTCACAAAAATACATACACAAATCATATAAAAACAAATTCTGCTTATAAATCTTCAATTAAGTTGCAAGACAAAATTATACAAAATTTCAAAGTTTAGATAACTTGTGCATTTATCTGATAATGAATATGACAGTAAATACGGTGAAATAAAATAAAGGAAATTGATACATGTATAATTATAAAGAAAGAATGAATGAAAAAACGAAACGGAGATTGTATCGCAAGGAAATGATCAGTTTGAACAACAAAAGAAATGTTCATGTTAGGTTAAGTTGACAATACGGAATTCAAAATAAGACACTTTACTTCAGATCCATCAAGTGCCCGCTACTTCTCAGGATAGGTTCTAGTAATCTTTTAAACATTAAAGAATAAGATTTATTATCAATATGATGCAAAAGTGTAGGCTTTGTTTGTTTCAATTCGTCATTAATTAAAGATCTTTTTCCTTTGAGTTATATGTACTTAATTCTTAGGTGAGGGTATTACATGCTGTTTAAAAAGATTAAGTTAAATAAAAGTATAAAGATCCGATACAATCTTGATTTTTTGTTTAGAAAACAAAAAATATCACCAGAAGTTTGGTCTGTCAGCGCAATTTTTCAGCTGTTATAAATCACCACAAAAAAATCAGCAGGGATTTATTCGAAAAACTCGGGAATGTAGTCGTTCTGACAGGAAATTGAAAGTAATTATCTAATTTAGACTTAAAAAAGGAAAAACCTTATAATAGGGCCTCCTGAGATACGTCATTTAGTTAAATCTTTGAATAAGAATGTTCGCTGTAAGCGTTTCTTATGGGAATTTGAGCATAACTAATCGGAAATAAAGACAACAACCCAAAGATAAAGAAGACGAAAATATAACTAGAGATCAACAAACAATCTTCAACAAGTATAGACCGTTGTCTATACAATAGTTCATTTGGTATTTCAAGTCAAAACATTAAATAGAATGCTCTCTTTGGAGATCGTTAAAATGGTTTCGAAGTTTAATTCACTTGTATCGAATAGAATGTTTCAGAATTTTAAACAAATGTATGAAGTAAATACATGTTTACCCAAAGCAATAACAATACCGTCGACCAAAGGTCGGTGGTGTTCCACAGGGCACTACGGCTCCCTCCACCAACTGGCCGCAATGGTATTTAGTGGAACGGAGCAAAAAATCACGATAGACGTACATACAAATTTCCAATTGCATACAAAATAGTCGCAATAAGGTAATTTTCCTAAATACAAAGCATTTGTATCAAGACATTTGTTATGAAAATTAAGCGAATGAAGATCATAGCATTCGCATTGTGTTTACATGCTTTAAAGTACCTGTCCTTCGAAAATGTTAAAACGACCATTTACCGATGAAAATCTAGCAATGACATATAAAGGTGATAACTCATTATGTGTAAAACCTCATTTCCCGTAAACATACAAGGCAAGAGTAATTCACAATCTGTAACTAGTCATTTATTTAATGAAATGGAAAGATCTAGACAGAATTAATTATGCATCGACTTTGTATTGGAAAGTTGCTACATCATTGCAATCAAACTTCTCGTTAGCGAGGAAGTCCTTCAGCTGGAAACGTGCTCTACTGCTTGGCTTTGCAACAGTGATCTGTCCAGTCTGCTTAAGCAACAAGAACTGGTACCTGTGAGTTCCTTTTGGTGGACTTGGCCCTTCGTACTCTACAAAAAAGAGGATCAATAATTATAATCACATATCAAATTGATTTAAATGAAGATCTGTTTGTTCAGTGGTTCCTAACTTCGAACTTATATCATGCATTCAAATGTATTGATAAAGATTGGTTTTTACGTTCCACTTGAAGCAAAACATGACATATTAAGCCAATGATATGTTCTGCATGTCAATCCCGATTGCCGTCATATAATTATCTACTTTGTATGTCCATACCCCCATAACTACTGGGATAATTTTGAAGTATTAAGTTTGTAATGAGTCGTCCGTTTTTCTTCTTATTGATCATTTAATTGTACTTCTTTTTTCCTTTTTTTTATTATACTGTTTTTTTCCAGAAATTGTAACTTCATTACCATGATTACAGTAACAAATCAAATGATTACCAGAAAGCCTTTAAGTCAAAAGATAACCTATTTGAATGTGTAATCTTGTAGAATCAGTATTTAATTTACATCATGTACATGGACATGTATAACTCGGAACTGGTACCATCAATACTGGTGCATTTAAAGGATCATCTTGTTTTTGAATCAGGTGCTACAAGTGGTTTGTGTATTCCCACATATTCTTACAACATTTTTTTTCTGTTTACACGGAACGGTTGCGTTAAACAGGACACAAATCATCATTCTAAAAAGTCCAAACGAATTTTTCCATTGAAACAATAATAAAGTTCTGAATAATAAAGTTCTGCATGAATTTCTGTTTAAACTTTAAGCATGCTAAATGGGTTTTATTTTATTTTTCTACAAATAAAAACCTTCATAATCCTGATTTGTAGTAAAACTCTGCCCAACTTGGTTGAACATGTGTTCTGACTTTAACGCTTTCCTCACCTTATCTAATTAGCTATATCACATGACTCTGATAGGTCCAAAGAGACAAAAAAAATAATACATTGAAAAATGTATCGAGGAATCTGTATGTTTTCACAAAAATGAAAAACTTACTCATAATTGTTGTGCCACCGAGATCTTCACTCCCAAAGTCTGATCCCTGTTGAACAAAAATACAAGCTTGTATCACATTCCAGGTCAAATTATATTCATTGGAATTATTTAAACACGTCTCAACATTTAGAGGATCTCTTTATTTAAAGCATGAGGCTTTCTGTTTAATAAAAACAAAACTGTAAAGGAGGAGGTATACAAAAAGCCCTTATTTCGCCCCTGAAATTGAAAAAATAGTAAACTCATTCGACCTTTTCAAAATTAGGTTAATTTGATTGATACATGAACAGGTTGATATAAACTAGACATTCAGAGCTGTTACACTTTTAAAAAGAAATCGCTGCTGTTCCTTCAGTAACTATAGTATATGCATGATAGTACATGCAGTGCTTTTTTTACTACTAGAAGCCCAGATACAGTTGAGTCATTGTCATTTCTGATGATATTAACTAACCATTGTTTTAATACAACTATTTTATTCATAATATTAATTTTTAAAAAGCATTTTCATCGACTTCATTTGAACTTTGGTGGATAGTTGTCTCATTTGGCAATCATATATCTTTATTTTCATACAGTTCGAACGAGCACATCTAAAAAATGAAGAAAAAAAAAACTGAGGCGATCGTTTGCCGATTGTAGTAATAGTATTTTCTGTTGAACATAGACAGTAAACAATGACCAGTCAAATACAACGTCAACTGAATTAAAAAGGTTTATGTCTTATAGACAGTTTAATTATTTGAAGTAAAAATGTAACAGTCATAAGCTTATTGAAAATTTAAAATCTTATTTTTTTTATCTGAAGTTTTTCAAATGATATTTAAACCTGCATGGCGGATAATACATATATAGCAGGAGAGGCCTATCCTGTGGATGCACATTGTCACACATAGTTTGCATCTCAGGAGAGGCCTATCCTGTGGATGCACATTGTCACACATAGTTTGCATTTCAGGAGAGGCCTATCCTGTGGATGCACATTGTCACACATAGTTTGCATTTCAGGAGAGGCCTATCCTGTAGATGCACAGTCACACATAGTTTGCATTTCAGGAGGGGCATATCCTGTCGATGCACATTGTCACACATAGTTTGCATTTCAGGAGAGGCCTATCCTGTGGATGCACATTGTCACACATAGTTTGCATTTCAGGAGAGGCCTATCCTGTAGATGCACAGTCACACATAGTTTGCATTTCAGGAGGGGCATATCCTGTGGATGCACATTGTCACACATAGTTTGCATTTCAGGAGAGGCCTATCCTGTGGATGCACATTGTCACACATAGTTTGCATTTCAGGAGAGGCCTATCCTGTAGATGCACAGTCACACATAGTTTGCATTTCAGGAGGGACATATCCTGTGGATGCACATTGTCACACATAGTTTGCATTTCAGGAGAGGCCTATCCTGTAGATGCACAGTCACACATAGTTTGCATTTCAGGAGGGGCATATCCTGTCGATGCACATTGTCACACATAGTTTGCATTTCAGGAGAGGCCTATCCTGTGGATGCACATTGTCACACATAGTTTGCATTTCAGGAGAGGCCTATCCTGTAGATGCACAGTCACACATAGTTTGCATTTCAGGAGAGGCCTATCCTGTAGATGCACAGTCACACATAGTTTGCATTTCAGGAGGGGCATATCCTGTCGATGCACATTGTCACACATAGTTTGCATTTCAGGAGAGGCTTATCCTGTGGATGCACATTGTCACACATAGTTTGCATTTCAGGAGAGGCCTATCCTGAAGATGCACAGTCACACATAGTTTGCATTTCAGGAGGGGCATATCCTGTCGATGCACATTGTCACACATAGTTTGCATTTCAGGAGAGGCCTACCCTGTGGATGCACATTGTCACACATAGTTTGCATTTCAGGAGAGGCCTATCCTGTAGATGCACAGTCACACATAGTTTGCATTTCAGGAGGGGCATATCCTGTCGATGCACATTGTCACACATAGTTTGCATTTCAGGAGAGGCCTATCCTGTCGATGCACATTGCCACACACAGTTTGCATTTCAGAATATGCATATCCTATCGATGCACATTGTCACGCACAGTTTGCACTTAATGTCATTCACTCCAATGTGTGTTTATTCATAAATAAACTTTGGTTGATAAGTTGTTTAATTGACAATCATAGATTCATACCACATCTCCTTATTTTAGATTATGTCAGCTACAATTTACTTTTTAGAATAATATGTCAACTTTTTTATCAATCGCACCAACAAAACTTGTGGCGTAATGATATCGTCCTCAAAATCAATTATGAAATCTACCATGAACTTCTAGTCACCAAAAAACCACCAATCTAGTGATAACTTATAGGTAATGTCTTCAAAAAATGAAAACAACACGTAAATACCCTTTAAATGTTTTACCAGCAAGTGTAGCCAGTAAACAACTTAACTAAACCTTATATTTGTTACCAGCCGGTGTAGCCAGTTAGGCACCAAATTTAACGTTCATACATTGTATGTGTTAACTGCCAATGTAGCCAGTTAGCTACCATACTAACCCTCATATGTATCATCAGCCATTGAAACCAGTTAGCCACCAAACTTCCCGTTATAGTGTTACCAGCCGGTGTAGACAATGAGCCACCAAACTTACCGTTTATACGTGTTACTTACCAGTATAGCCAGTTAGTTAGCCACTAAACATTCCTTCATGTGTGTTACCATCCAGTGTAGCAAGTTAGCAACCAAACTTAACTTTATATGTGTTACCTTCCAGTGTAGCCAGTTAGTTAGCCACTAAACATTCCTTCATGTGTGTTACCATCCAGTGTAGCAAGTTAGCAACCAAACTTAACTTTATATGTGTTACCTTCCAGTTTAGCCAGTTAGTTAGCCACTAAACTTTCCTTCATATGTGTTACCAGCCAGTGTAGCAAGTTAGCAACCGAACTAAACTTTTATATATGTGTGATCTGCCAGTGTAGCCAGTATGTTACCAAACTTCATAATGCTTACCTGCCAGTGTACCCTGTTAGCCACCATACTAACTTTCTTATTAAGAAATAAATGTGGATATTGTCCACATGTAGACACATATGATGCCCCCGCTTGCATATCATATAGTTATAAAGGGACATAACTGAAGAACGGTAAAAGTGACACTACCCAAATTTGAACTTGATCTGAGTTTTGTGGTAATAAGCATTGTGTGTACGTCTCATAACATTTGGTTGAGAATAACTTAAGTAGAGAACAGAAATTAAAAATTCAGCAATTTTTCTATTTGTAAACACGCATAACTCTAGAACGATTGTGTATTAATAAGTTTTATAACATTTGATTGAGACAAACTAAAGTTAGAGAACGGAAACGAAAAATTCAGTAATTTTTATGATTATAAAGGGACATAACTCAAGAATGGTAAAAGTATCGCCACCAAATTTCGAACTTGATCTGTATTATGTAGTAATAAGCATTGTGTATAAGTTTCATAACATATGGTTGAGGCAAACAAAAGTTAGAAAACGGAAACAAAAAAATTGTACTTGATCTTAGTTTTGTGGTAATGGATATTGTGTATAGGTTTCATAATGTTTGGTTGGGGCAAACTTAAGTTACAGAATGGAAAATTTTGCAATCTTTCGATTTATAAAGGGGCATAACTCAATAATGGTTAAAGTGACACTACCCAAATTCAACTTGATCTGTTTTTTATCAGTGGAAGTCACAATTAAACATTACATTGTATAGAGTATTGATTGTAGTTGATTAAACTATAATCATGGACAAAGGAAGATAACTCCAATTTTAAAAATTACTTAGAAGAAGAAAAAATTTTGCAATTTTTCCATTTATAAAGGGGCATAACTCTAGAACGGTTAAAGTGATGCCGCCAAAATTCAAACTTGATCTGTGTTTTGTGGTAATAAGCATTGTGTATAGGTTTCATAACATTTGGTTGATGCAAACTTAAGTTAGAGAACGGAAACTAAAAATTTTGCTATTTTTCCATTTTTAAAGGGGCATAACTATAGAACGGTTAAAGTGACGCCACCAAAATTCAACTCGATCTGTGTTTGTGGTAATAAGCATTTTGTATAAGTTTCATAGCATTTGGTTGAGGCGAACTTAAGTTAGAGAACGGAACCTAAAAATTTTGCAATTTTTCCATTTGTAAAGGGGCATAACTCTAGAACGGTTAAAGTGACACCACCAAAATTCAGACTTAATCTGTGTTCTGTGGTAATACGCATTGTGTATAAGTTTCATAACATTTGGTTGAGGGAAACTAAAGTTAGAGAACGGAAACCAACTTTAGGACGTACGGACGTACGGACGTACGTACGGACGGACGGACGTACGTACAGACGGACAAGGGTAAAAATTAATGCCCCCTCCGCTACGGCGGGGGGCATAAAAATTCACTCACCTGATTAAATGGGCATTTAAAAAGTCAGAATGCGAATATATATGCTCAAACCCTTTTAGGTCATTTTTTAATAACAACAAACAAAAGAACTATGTCAATTGGACCTGCCCTTGAATTTTTACTAGATAACCTTTTTGTTCGCAATGGAGATTCCGTTTATCGTCAAGTTATCGGAATTCCCATGGAGACTAACTGTGCACCACTTATTGCGGACCTGTTTCTGTATTGTTATGAGTTACAATTTATGACTAAAATCAGCAAAGGCCCATCGAAACAACATCTGATCACAAATTTAATAACACTTTTAGATAATTAGATGATATATTGGCTCTCAATAATGACGACTTCAGTATGTACACTAAAGAGATTTTTAATTAAATCAAGCTAATACTAACAATGAACACTGCCCTTTCCTGGATCTTGATATCTATATCTTTAACGGGAAGCTTAATACCAAAATTTATGATGAAAGAGATGAGTTTTCATTTCTTATTGTTAATTATCCATTTTTAGATGGTGACGTTCCCTTGTCACCATCTTATGGTGTTTATATATCTCAACTTGTTCGATTCGCTCGTGTATGTAACAACGTATTTGATTTTTACGAAAAAATCTCTGTATTACTGAAAAATTATTACACCAGGGTTTTCGATATCACAAACTTGTCAAAACATTTACTAAATTTTATCATCGGTACAAGGACATCATTTGTAAATATAAATCAACATGCAGACATCTTATACGTTCAGGTATTTCACATAAATTTTTTTATGGTAATATTCTTTACAAAGCACAAAAATGTCGGCATTCATCTCAAAAGCTAACCAAACCTTTAAACAGACTTATTCGAAAGGGATATAGTTACGATACTGTTGTCAGGTCATTAAGGATTGCATATTTTGGTATTAATATTAATTCACTCATAGGGTCTTTGCATCGCAAATAAACACATTTATTACTTTTATAAATTTTGACTTGGATGGAGAGTTGTCTCATTGGCACTCATACCACATCTTCTTATATCTATATACATTTATTCTAAAAACCAGTTGTTGGCATGATACGGGTTATGTTCTTCTCATATATTTTATGATGGTATGATACTAAACCACTAACGGGAGGAATTGTGCTTGATTTTCATATGATGAAGACATAAACTTTCAACCAGTTTGCTGCTCACTAGGAAGCTATTAAACCAAGAGTTCCAAATGGTGAAGATGAAATCATCCCTTCGTAAATTTTACTGACGCCATCACGAGTTGGTTGACCGTTATAGAATAACCGTTTCACAGATGATATCGGATATGTTCCTTATGTCGTAACTACAATACCCTTCCCTTTTCACGAATGTGACCTACCGAATTAGACTATTTACCGGATTTGTAATATTAACATAAGCAACACGACGGGTGCCACATATGGAGCAGGATTTGCTTACCCTTCCGGAGCACCTGAGATCACCCCCAGTTTTTGATAGGGTTCGTGTTGCTTAGTCTTTAGTTTTCTATGTTGTGTCATCTGTACTATTATTTGTCTGTTTGTCTTTTTATTTTTGGCCATGGCGTTGTCAGCTTGTTTTCGATCTATGAGTTTGACTGTCCCTCTGTTATCTTAATTTCGTCCCTCGTTTAATTGAGGTCTGGAGCTAGTATGTCAGTAACTGCTAGTAGTCCTTTGTTAATTTATGTATCACTGTCATTTTACTTAGTTTCTTTTGTTACCTATTCTGACATCGGACTCGGACTTCTTTTAAACTGAGTTTTACTGTGTGTATTGCTGTTTTAACCCCGCCGCATTTTTGCGCCTGTTCCGTCAGGAGCCTCTGGCCTTTGATAGTCTTGCATGTTTTTTAATTTTAGTTCATTTATATGTTTTGGAGTTAAGTATGACGTCCATTTCTCACTGAACTAGTACACATTTTTATTTAGGGACTAGCTGAGGACCACCTCCGGGTGCGGGATTTTCTTGCTGCGTTGAAGACCCATTGGTGGCCTTCGACTGTTATCTGCTATTTGGTCAGGTTGTTGTCTCTTTGACATATTCCCCATTTCCATTCTCAATTTTATTTACCAGCAAGTGAAGCCAGTTAGCCACCAAACTAACCTTTATACGTGTTACCATCCAGTGTAGTCAGTTAGCCACCAAACTTACCTTTATACGTGTTACCATCCAGTGTAGCCAATTAACCACCAAATACTAGTAAACTTTTATGTTACCAGCCGGTGTAGCCACTTAGCCACCAAACTTACCTTTATATATATGTTACCAGTCGATTAGCCATCAAACTTCCCTTGATATGTGTTACCAACCAGTGTAGCCAGTCAGCCACCAAACTTACCTTTTTATGTGTTACCAACCAGTGAAGTCAGTTAGCCACCACGGTTCTCTTTATATGTGCTACCTGCCATTGTCAGTGTAGCCAGTTAGCTACAATACTAACCTTTATCGGCAATTAGTACATTTTCCCTTTGATCTTACTGCCTATCATTTTTCTATATCATGGTCAGGACCTCCTACTCGAAAATATTAGGCAATGACGTCACGTAACAGTGCTGCAACGTCACGTGTTCATGTCCACGATGGCATCCGCAACGTTTTATCAATGAAATGCACGCGACTTCATTCATACAACCGAACGACCATCACGACATTGTGTACTCTTAAAAACGATTTTACTTACAATTTCATTTTATTTCATATTTTCAAACATCAAAAATGTTGTAAAGACAAAATTGCCGATAAACAGAATAATGACATTTCATTTTTAGATGCTGACTTCATCAGCTCGAACATCAGCTCGCCCTTGCGGGCTCGCTTGATATTCTTGTTGATAAAGTCAGTATCAAAAACAAAATGCAATTATCTATATTTATATGTGTTACCAGCCAATGTGCTAGTTACCTACCAAACAAAACTTTATATTTTATACCCGTTGGTGTAGTCAGTCAGCCTGTGCAAGCTTATGTCACCATACTAACCTATATATTTGCCTCAAGCCAGCTAAGCTAATGAGTCACCAAACTAACCTTTATATTTGTTACCAACAAGCGTTACCAGTCAGCGTGTGTAAGGTTTGTCACCAAACTAACCTTTATATTTGTTACCAACAAGTGTAACCGGTCAGCGTGTGAAAGGTTTGTCACCAAACTAACCTTTATATTTGTTACCAAAAAGTGTAACCAGTCAGCGTATGACCGGTTTGTCACCAAACTAACCTTTATATTTGTTACCAAAAAGTGTAACCAGTCAGGGTGTGAAAGGTTTGTCACCAAACTAACATTTATATTTGTTACCAACAAGTGTGACCAGTCAGCGTGTGTAAGGTTTGTCACCAAACTTACCTTTATATTTGTTACCAACAAGTGTAACCAGTCAGTGTGTGTAAGTTTTGTCACCAAACTAACATTTAAATTTGTTACCAGCCAGTGTAGCATGTCAGCGTTTGTAGGGTTTGTCACCAAACTAACCTTTATATTTGTTACCAGCCAGTGTAGCCAGTGAGCCAGTGATGGGTTATCAGGTGCTGGAGCATCCGGATCTACCATAATCAACGTGTACAAATTGTCCTTGAAATAGAAAAAAACGTACTTATAATGCTATGTTAGTTTTACTCGTTTTTAATTCATAAATTCTGGCGTATATATGTCAGAAATTTTTTAATACTTAAAGGTTTTTAAAAGAAATGGGATGGCATCTTTTTCGACATGTGTTCATTTGTTGCTTACTTATTAGTTTAGAAACTTTAGTAACTAAAAAGCAACTTGACCATATTTTTAATGGATATTCGAATCTCAAAATAAGAATCCATGAAAAAGATCAACTTTAAACACAACACATGTAAAAATCACGAAGTTGCAACAATGACGCGAGAAGAGCAATCGAAAAAATTAGGCATGAGATCGTCATTTCACTATTTTTCCGGAGTATAAAGGAGATACGGGGTATATGTCAATGAGACAACAACCAATCGACACAAACAACCAAACGACATACAATTCTAAACAATAGACATCTATACAATGAACAAAGATCAAAATCTCCCCAAGTCAAAACAACTGTTAATAAGTTAAACAAAGACTGTTATAGTTCTACCATCAACAAAAATTCTGCAAATTAACATAGAAATATGACATAAGAGAAGCAATGGCCTTCTTGACTTTGAACAGGCACATGCAGTTTATAAATTTCACAATTATGTATGGCGCGGAATCAGTGTCAAAATGCATAATTTGTGTATACACGTAAATAAAGACGTAATTGAAAACAACGTTCAAACCTATGATTGCGTTGGATAATAACCGTAATTTTTATACATGTGCATGCAAAACAAATTTCTTAGTAGAGGAGTCTAAATACAGCACAAACAACATTTTCCAAAAGATCAAAAAAGTGAAAAAGTATATTTAAACAAATCGCATTTGACTAACAGGTCGAACAACGGATGTTTCTTAAACCCTGTTGACTGCCATTGGCGATTGCCAAATAAACGGATCACAAGATGTCACAAAATGGATCTTTATTATTAATTTAATACCAAACAGAAAACAATAAACTTGCGGAAAAGATGGTATACTGCAAACATGAGGTGCAAAAATTTGTACATCATATCCGGATTTCGACAATTAATGTCTCTTCAGTGATGTTAGGAATCGAAACGGTATTTGGAAGGCCATATAATTTACCTCAATTTAGGATAGACTCTTGAATTTTGAAGAGTCGAAATAGGATGAACGGATCATATAAACCCGGAGGCAAATATAATACAAGCCCAAACGAAAAAATATAAATAAGTCTAAATTGAAAACAACGTTCAAACCTATGATTGCGTTGGATAAAAACCGCAATTTTTATACATGTGCATGCAAAACAAATTTCTTGGTAGAGGGGTCTAATTACAGCACAAACAACATTTTCCATAAGACCAAAAAAGTGAAAAAGTATATTATTAGACATATCCGGATTCGACAATTAATGTCTATTCAGTGATGTTAAGGATCGAAACGGTATTTGGAAGGTGTATTTTTCTTAAATATTTATGTAGATATATACAGAAATAATCAATACTCATGTTTTATTCTAAATATGGTGGCAATGTTTGTCAACTAACCGGAACAAAAAACACAGATTGCATACCAGATACCCAAAGGACTATTGACCCAAAGTAAAGTTGAAAATGGTTCGGTAGTTTCAGGACAGGAAAATAAGTCTAAAATCGTAGTTTACAGTCAAGAATTCATTAAGGAGTTATCTAATGGTTTCCGTCGTTTTGGTATTTTTTGTAGTCTTGTATTGGTGATCATTTTTGCTGTTTAATGTTTCTGTCTATCTGTTAGTTTTCGAGATAATTGGCAAAAAAAATAAATTAGTCAAAATGTGTCATTTAGGGGCAATAACTACCTAGGAATCATCAAATGGTTTCGGTCATATTGAGATTTTTATAGATCTTGTATTGCTGACCACTATTGCTATAAACAATTTCTTCCTATCGATTACAGTTTTAAGGTAATAACCAAAAACACAAAACATCAGTCATAAATCGTCTGTTAAGATATATGGTGGAGTATAAATCAAAATCGATAGCATTTTTGATAACTTGTCAAAATGTAGTTTTAACATCATACTTTTTTCAAAAAATAATAAAATGTATGGGTCACAGAGCTTTTTTTTCATGCTACAGTTGTGCAAAATTGTCATCTGGTATAGATTACGCATAAAAAAAGGCCAATTTGGAGCGATAGAAAGAAAACAAAACGATAGAATTTCAAGGTAACATATAAGAAGATACCTCTTATCATGTGCTTTCAAAAAATAAAAATAAAATTGGGGTCACAAAATTCGTTTTCTTGCTAAAAAACAAAATAAGTACATTAAGTACACATTCCTTTGAAAAAGTTAGAACATCCGAGTTACCTCCTCTTACGTGGCTAATTATCAAACAAGGAATATTCGGTTACTATATATGTAAAAACAGTCGTGATAATAAGATAAGGCACACGATTATCTTCATTTAGATGAAACGGCTTACTAATGAATATCTTTCCTCTCTTAAAATTGGCATATTTAATAAAAGATCTAGACCGATTGTTTTCTGCTATTTTACAAGGATCTTTACCCCATGTTTGGTAGAAATTGCTTCAGTGGTTACAGAGAAGAAGATCTTTAAAAAAAGTTTACGACGGACGACAAACACCATGACTGACGGAGACGGACATCAAACGACGACGGATGCCAAGTGATGCAAAAGCTCACACGGCCTAGTTGTAGGTGAGTTGAATATATATATTTAACACTTTTTTGCCACGGAAATTCAGAAGAATTCTACTTAATTTTTCACATATTTTACTATTCGTCACTAGTTGGTAAGTTCCAGTAAGTTTGTGGTCGTAAGCGAAATCTCCTTTCCTTCATCAAATTAAAGTTTAAACGTTGATTAATGTACTTGTAGTGTTAAAATAAGCCAAGATCACCTTAAACAAATGCAAAGTTTAACTCGAATGATCTAGACGTTATATTCCGCTCACTACAATCGCAACATTAATTAACGAGTTCAGTGCCACAGGGCCGATCATCGGCCTAAAGTACGACTCCTTTCAGTGCCAAAGGGCCGATTCATCGGCCAATTCAAATGATGTTATGAAATACGTAATGTACTATGACGTCGCCGTTTTTGCGCTTCAATTAATTCTACCGTCTCTAAATTTTCGCGCGTTTTTTTCTAATATTAAAAAATACGGAAGTCGAGCTTTTTTCTTGAAAATTATGAAAATAAAATCATGTGAGGATTCCTTTAAAAATATTATGGAAGTACGTTTTATATGTATTGAGTCTTAAATTCACTCTCTTTTTTCCAGCACTTTTGCGGTATGCATTTTAGGCTTACGTTCCTAAAGTTATCATCAAGGGAGTTACTTAAAAAAAAAAATATATACAAATGCAAGTAAAAATGTAAATACATTATAATATAAAATAGAAATTAATCAAATAAGAACAAAATACCTTTACAAAGAAAGATTTAGATAAAATGCAAATAATTTTTTTAGAGACGCGAAAAATGAAAAATACGCCAAAAAGTACGATATTCAATAAATGACGTTATTGATCTTATGACGTCATCCATAAATGCATCTATCGAATAATGGCTGATCCTAATCCCTGGTTTCGAGTGTATCCTCCTGAAATTCGGGATCACACAGAATTTGATCAAAATTTTGGACCTAAAAGAATGCCTCCAAGAAATTCCAGACCCATTGCATATTTTATGCTGATTTTTACAATGGATTTAATGAAGAAGTTTGTCTTAGAAACAAACAGGTATGTGTAAGCCCTTGTTCCTTTAAAAACGACACAATGCACGGAATAAATTTCAAAGCAAAAAACTTTACTGTGTCCAATGTTTAAGATCAATGCGGCATACGTTAGAAAAGGCCGAACATTTAAATAGAAATAAGAAATCAAGGGTTGCCAACTTGGATACAAGAGAAAAAAAAATATCAAAGAAAAGCAAAACACGGGGGACGGAGCTATAGTAACACAGTGCTATGCACTCGATTTCATCATGAAATTAATATTGCATTTATCGTGGGAAAACGCATTGTCCAGTATTGCATCGTCAAAAAGATTATTGAGCTTAACTATAATATATGATATAAAATATGGTTTTTGATCGGTCCATGCATGTGTTTACGCATCTATTAGTTTGTCCCTTCTTATCTCACCACAGAAAAGAGAAGGAAAAAAAACCCACACACAATCCTTAGATTTTTTTGAACAAGTGTGAAATTTTAAACTACAATTGCAGTGAATAAATATTATACGGTTGTCAAGAATTTAAAAACTCATTATTTTTCATATCCAGGTACGCTAGAAATTTTATTAAAAGAAATCAGCACAATATCAGCCATAAATCCAGGGTTCATGGTTGGCGTAAGAAAGGAAAATTAACATTAATAGAGTTTAAAGCCTTCGTTGCTGTGATTTTGAATATGGGCTTAATCAGAAAGGCGACAATATCTGAATACTGGAACAAAAAACATTCTAGTCAGTCAACTCCTTGGTTCCGGAAAGTTTTCACCAGAAATCGCTTCCAATTGTTGTTGAAATTCCTGCATCTTGTTGACAATAGAAAGATATAGCGCCTAGAAATTCACCAAGTTATGATCCTATTGCAAAATTTAAACCCATCGTTGACCATTTCAACCTAAAAGCGAAAACACATTATTCTCCGTCTCAAAACCTGTCTATTGATGAATCCTTAATCGGGACCAAATCGCGTACAGTTTTGCGACAGTACATTCCGACAAAGCACTCTAAATTTGGTGTCAAACTATGGATGTTGACAGAAGCCATTACTGGGTATTGTTTTCACTTTAATGTTTACAAAGGAAAAAGATATGATCCCACTCCAGCAGGAGAGACCCAAGGTTCATATGTTGTTACATCATTACTTCGCGCTGCTGGTTTACTGAATAAATGGTACCATGTGTTTTGCGACTCGTTTTTCACTTCTTTATCTTTAGCGAAACGATTGTTAAACTTACACACATATACAACTGGAACTGTGCGTAGT